CACAACCAAAATAAAAGTACCACCAGGGCTTCTGAAGAAATTTGGTCCTTTGCCTCTGAATGGTGAAGCCTGTATCATTGGTCACCCAGAGGGAAGACTGAAAGAAATGGATTCTACATGTATCATTGAGAAAGAGAAAAGGCTAAAGGCTATCAATGATCATTTACAGCCTTACACAGACAGTAAGTTCATCATCCAGTCAATCATTCAAGTGCTCAAAGCTCAAGGTACTGAACACATATTGTCCGGTGGAGATCTAGCAGAAAAAGTAGTGACCTACAAAACCTTTATGTATCGCGGCTCCTCTGGTTCCCCAGTGTTTGATGCTTTTGGCCGCGTGTTTGGTTTGCATAGTCTTATATTTGCTTATAACTTTGGAGACCAGCCACACATTGTCATGGGATGTGCCTATCCTCTGCATATTATGTTTAAACAGTTTGTAATCAAGCTGAAGGAAAGTGGAAATTATGAACTGTTGAGCAGAGTTGAGGAAGAAGCAAAAGGAAACAAATTCCTAGAAATGATATCTCCTCCAACTCCATAGCGTGAATATTTTAGAGTTGTCCGGTACTCTTCCAAAGTTTGTGAGAAATCTGAAAGAAAAGAGGACTGTTGAGGAACTGTTGAAGAGAGATGAGGAGAACACATTTAAGCAATACCTTAAAATCTTATTTTCATATCTAATATTTGTATTATTTTCCCCCTTGATTTTAAGATAAGCGTTTTGATGTTTCAATCAAATAATTCTATTGTTAATTGGAGAATTTGGGAATTAATCAAGAGAGTAACAAATAATTGTCAGTGTGTTAGTATTTGCAGTTCATAAGTCCTTAATTTAACCGTTATGTTCTATGACGTTGCACAAGATTTAAGAAGACAGAACAGAAACTAATGTCAGTCTGTGTTCTAGGTTTCACTTAACTCCAACTTCATGTTCTCCCCATGTTCTCCCTCTGTCCACAAGATGCCCCCAGACATTTATCTGTTTCCCTGCTCACTCACAAACCTGATCCCAGTTCCCTCATCACCCAGGCCAGTACTTGTTGTCAAGTTGTTGTCAGACACCTGAGTTTTGTTACCTGTTGTGCTTGTTTGCCTGTCTGTTCGTCTGTCTGCCAGTAAGCTTGTTTTTAGATATTAAAAGCTTCTTCACTATCATCCAGCCTGCCTGTGTGTATTTGCGCTTGGGTCCAACCTTCCTGTGTTGCTACCATGTGACACTTTAAGCTTGTTTGTGAATGCTGGTCAGGTTTTATGTTTGAATGAGAACCATTGTGGAGACGGTCTGGTGCTCCCAGTGGATGGCGAGCATTCAAGCTCAATCCCAAGGTACCCAGAATCAATATGATCAATGAAACAGTCGGCTGAGGACAGTCTGCTCTGCGGTAGGATTGTGTCAGTCACCTGAATTGGTACCAGCTTGAACTTGAAGGGTGCATGCTGTCTGAGTAGGGTTCAGAATTAATTGCTTATTCATAACCAATGATAAGATTTTTGAGCGATTAATACTATCAGTTAAAATATCCTGGGGCTATTTGTCTGACAGAAAATTGAAAATGAACATCACTAGCCGTGACCAACCCAACCCTTTATAGATGGGACCCTCAACTGAAACAAATATAAATAAAACAAATAATATTCCAGGCATTAAACATCCTGCTCATGGTCCTCCATCATTCACTGCCTGGCAGGTAAGGCTGGTTAAGGGCGGAGGGTTTCGGTAAGTCAAAAATAAACTGAAGCTATTTTCTAATCCCTGTATCTCATTTACTACATGGTTCCTTTTGAAAGGCCCACACCTAGATTTTAGAAATGCTCCAGATTCTTATAAATGTAGAGCCGGTTCCATGTAGAGGTCTTCAGTGCATAACAATGAATCACCATTGTCACTGAATCAAATCAATGTCTTAGCGCAGTGGAGCGCCTGGCTGGCATCCAAGTGTCATTTTCAGTTGAGCTATGATTGACAGTATGTTGAAAATGAAACACACAGAAACAACCATAATCCGATCACTCAGACATAATTAATGAGCTACTGAGCTAACCTAATGTGCACTACGTGTGTACGCTAGGTACATACTGAAGTGTGGGAAGCGATTAGAATGAGAAAATTGATTCGTGATTGGGGGTTATCACTATTTGCAGATAGCAAAAGTATTGTAGTGAAAACTTATGAAAACTTCTGGCCTGGGTCCTCAGGCATTTATACTAAATGCGGATGTAGCACCTGACATACATGCTCTATAAAACCCAGACTGGGGCCTATATTCTACTGTTTACGTGAGGTAATCAAGACAAAAGATAGTTTGTCATTTTTATAACCTGATAACTTTTGATTAATTAATTTCAAATTGTTTTTTTATTTACTTACCCACCTAAAACCTAAAGATATTAAAAGACAGAGACATACATCACATCCTTACACACGGCAGCTTTGAGTGAGATAGTTTTTTGTTTGTTTGGTTTTTAGTATAAAAACATTAATTAATAAATTGATTTTCAGAATTGTTGTTAACTGTTTTTCTCTTTGCAGTGCAACTGAAGCAGAAGAGGTAAAAAATAAAACGCTTTGATATTAACAATCTCTGTATATATTTCAAGTGTTAAACCATAATAACTGCTCATGGTCCTCCATCATACTGCTGATGAGAAAACAAACATTGTCAGTAAGTGATGCTGGTTAAGGGTGGAGGCTCTCAGTAAATCAACACGAAACCAAAACGAGTTTCTGATTCACTAATCTCATTCAATGCTTTTCCCCTTTTCTTTGAAAGACTCTAGGTTTTAGAAATGCTTTGGATTCTTATGAAGTAGAACTGGTTCCATTTAGAGGTGTTGAGTGCAGTGCACTGAGTCACCATTGTCACTGAATCGAATCAGTATCTTTGAGCAGTGGAGCTTGTGACCGATGACTGATTAAGAGAATGTTATGTGCTCGCTAAAAGCACATTGAGAGATGTTGAAAGCCACTGAAACAATCATAATCTGATAACTCACGTTTTGCTCCGAATTCTAAGATCACTGTGATAAATGTATTATCTCAATCCTCATCTCTTATGTACAAAATCTGTTTAACAAACTGTGAAAGAGTTCATTACATGAAGCCCATGAGGTCGAGCTACTCACATTAACTGTTTTTCTCCTTGCAGTGCAAAGGAACTGCTGATAACTGCTCTGACAATAATAATCTGACCAACAGTCAAGTTAAAGCCTATATTATTGGTCACCTAGCAAGAAGAGTGAAAAGAAATGGATCCGACGTATCATTGAGAAAGAGAAGAGAGTACAGGCGGTCAATGATCATTTACGTCCTTACAAAGGCAATCTGTTCATCGTCCAGTCAATCATTCAAGTGATCACAGGTAAAGGCATTGAAAACATAATGGTCGATAGAAATGATGCAGGAAAAGTAGTGACCTTCGACTTTCATGTATCACGGCTCCTCTGGCTCCACAGTGTTTGATGCTCTCGGCCGAGTTGTTGGTTTGCGCACCGCAGGATTTACCTACGGGTTTCCAAAGCATACAGAGAGTGTGATAGAGTACGCTCATCCTCTGTTTACTATAAAAAGTCTGTGAGTAATCTGAAGGAAAAGAGGAGCTGTTGGAGAGACTATTTAAAAGAGCTACTCGAGGCCGATCCTGTTGAGCCAGTGGTGGTCAGACATTCAATTGAGAGGCTCCTCAGGAAAGTAGCAAAACACATCTGTTCACAACTGTGCCTCCTGTTTTTTATAGACTCAACAAACTAACTTTGTATTTTTGGGGGAGAGTGAGCTGGATGCTAACATGTTTTTTATATCCATCTGTAAATGATTTCTGTTGCTGTTATAGCACAGATTTTAATTCTGGGAAGCTGTTTGGTGTACTTTTAACCATCTACTGTTAACTTGTTTGTAAAAGGTTCAGTGTGATAATCATAAGTGTTTAAGGATTTGTTACCTGTTTATTTTTTCTCTCTGTTTCCTGTTGTATTATCTTTGCATGATGTTAAAACTTTTTTGGTTCTCCTTGGTTCTCAATTTCCTGTGATTTATGTTCTTTTCTTCTTCTTCTTCTAGGCTTTATGTTACTGTTACACCATTTCCTGCATTGACGAGACAATCTTACCTGCTCATGTAAAAAGGACGGTGCAAATATAGTCATAGCTGAGATCAGATAGTCTTAAAGCTTTATTGTGTGGTGAAAAAGGGCAAAGCTTATTACTTATTAATTACAAATTATGTAAAGTGAAATTAAAGCCTAGAGTGTTTCTATAGTGTTCACCTGACTGATTGTTTTAACAGCACATATAATGACATCTTATACCCTTTTCCGCAGTGATACATGATGGAAGACCAGTGGGACAATATACCCTATGATCCTTTACTCAGTACATGAATTTATTGGCATTTATATCACATGTTTGTCAGCACTTCTGAGTCGTAAATAATGATTTCAAACCACAGAAAACTGATGGATAGATTAACCAATTCAAAATTAATTAATTAAACTTATTTTAAGCTTTTATTAAAACTGACACATGAATATTATTTCTTCACACGCTTGGGTGCAGAACAGAAGAAAATGGGATAAAAACAAATAGAATAAAAGTGTAAACAGAGCACACAGAAAACATGTCTGTCCTCAGCTGCTGTTAGTTTTCCTGGTGTTGTCTCAAGGCTGAGGCTCTTTACTGTTGCCAGAATTGGTCTCACAACCACAATTACCACGTGTTGTAGCATAGATGACAAAGCAACAGCTCCATCAAGTGGCCATTTCACCTCACTACCAGCAAAATAACTGACATCTTAATTTATAGTAATTTATAGAATAGCTTGGTCTGATTACTGCAGATTTTTCCAGTTAAATTAAGTGATGAATACAAACAACAACAAAAAACCTCTTTCCATTGACTGTTCACTCCTCTCGTGTCCTCTTCTCTTCTTCCCATTTCTCTAACTGCTTAGTTCCTTATCCTTGTGCTGCCTTTCCTGCTCACCGTTAATCCAGATCACTTTCTCATTCATCCCAGTCTCCTTCTCCTCCCAAAGCATTGCGGAGACTCCTCCAGAACTCCCCCCTCCGCTCCTCCTCCTGAGGCCACTCCAGGTACGTGGTGGAGCTCATGAGTTTGCGCAGTTTGCAGAAGCGTTTGGGGATGTCGTCCTTGGACAGCGGCTCCAGCAGGATCAAGATGGCCGGCTCTCCGCCGGCTTCCCCATCGAAAAGCCAGAAGTGGGAGAAGTCCAGCTCGTAGCGACACCAATCAGACTGGACAAAATTTTCAGAGAGGATGAAGACAGTCCGCCGGCTGCGCTCCATGGCGCTCATGATGTTGTCCACAATCCACTGTCCAGGAAGGAAGTCCCGCTTGTGGAGACACAGGGTCAATGGCCGGGCAGTTCTGTAATTCGCAGCGTCTCCATCGATCTCCCTGTAGAAGTGTGCACAAGAAAACAGGTGATGTTTCGACTTAAGTTGTGGTAGGTGGGATTCAGTCAGCTGCAAAAGTACATAACACTGACAACTTCCTTACTTCTAATTAGTAAGTCATTTTTCCAATTTGTACAACTGAACATGAATGCAGATTTTGCAAAGTGTTTCAATATTTTCACTCATCAGACTCCTGGCACTGAGATATCATTTTAATTCATCATGTTGCTCAAGTGGTGGATGTTAGAAATAAGAAGAATAAGAATCTGGCAAACAAATGGATAATTCCTTTCGGGCTCATCCAAACATTTTAAATATCATGTTCAGTGAAGATTAAACGACATTTGTTGAGGGGAACGGTAGAAAAAATAAATTGCCAAAAGATACAAAATGAGTGTGATACTGATGGAGTCATCTTGAGCTACTTAGTAGTGTTAAAAATAAAAGATTGCACAAAAAATGTTGAACTTACGTTGGCTCCTCCAGCTCAGGTACCAAGTAGGTTTCCACCCAGCCAGTGTCTCTTTCACTGTAGGAAACAAAGGCATCAAAGGATAGCAATGTTTCTGAATCTGCCCCATCTCTGAGTCGCCGCCGGTGCCGGGAACTATGCTTGGCCTTCAGCCACGCCCATGTCATCTTGAGGTACCAGAAGGCATGGAGGCGCCATAGTAAGACGCTCACCAGAACCCCAACAAACAGCGCCACCCCGCAACTCACGGACACGAACAAAACCTGGTGGCACACAACAACCGAGAGGCGGACTTGACCCACTGATTTCCCCTGCAGGTAGAAGGGAGAGTCGCAGACGTAGCTCTCCTCGTCATCTGTTAAATGCACATCACCTTCCTTAATGCCGGACTGGAGGAAGGCGACAAAGTCACAGGAGCAGACAAACTTGTTCTGACCCGCCTGGAGATTCTGGAGTCGTGTGTATGACTGAAGATCTGAATGGCTGAACACGTTTAAGGTGTTTGACTGTGGAAGAACAAAGAGGGGTCACCCTGCAGAATACAAAGAGGACTTGAAGCAGGAATATGATATGTGATGGTTTTTTACCTGTATGGTCAGTGTTTGCAGATTGGGGAACAAGTATCCTGAAGGCAGCCTCAGAAACTTATTCCCAGAGAGGTGGAGCTCCCTCAAGGCAGGCAGGGCCACAGTGAAGTCTTTGAGATTATTGTTGCTCAGATCCAACACCTGGACATGATAGAATATGAGGTAAAGGGTTTTATCAGTGAGTGTTTTTGTTGTGATGGTATCAGGATTACTGCCGAGTGGTCCAGCCTCAGTACCTCCAGAGTTGCAGGTAGACATAGAGTAATGTTGTCAAGTTTAGCCCCGGAGATGTTGAGGTATCGCAAGGTGGAGGGCCAGGAGCAGCTTGGAGGCATGGAGTTGTAGTTGGTCCTGCTGATGTCCAGGTGGGTCAGTTTGTAGAGCTTTGCTACCAGTTGGCTCAGTGTGGACAAACTCTGGGCACAAGTTGGACAATGGCAAATAAGTCTTTAGACTTCAGGTAGTTTACTTTTCAAACCTGGCATCTTATTTTTAAGGTATTTTCAGAGTATGACGGGTTAAAGTTAAACAGTGAAGTTTCATGAAGCCACCTTCAGAGCATTTCCACTGATGTTTAAAACTCGGATGTCCTTCAGTGTGCCGTTTCCTTTGCACAGTGTCTCGATCAGAGTCATGTCGGTCAGCAGGTTGTCAGACATGTCCAGGTACTGAAGGTTCACCAGAAGGCCGGACGTGATACAAGGCATCACAAACACCTGAGGGTAAAAATCACACTACTCAGTGATTCATTATTGGCAGCTCAGTGGTGTAGTGACTACTACAGGGATAATTGGCATGCTACTGTGGCTAAATGGTAACCTCCTTGCTAACTGATTATACTGTGGCACAAGCCAGTCACAGTAGAGAGCCAACGTCACATCCACACTACCCAAAACCCTCTGATAATTTGTCAAATCTCATTGATGGTCGATGGTCGATTACCCCGGCGTTTATGACGGACACCCTCCTGGGGTACTGCAGCAGGAACCCCAGCTCGAGAAACGAGACAAACTTATAAACATCCAGCACCACGACGTTTCGTACGAAGAACTCATCGATGCTTTTTTGATCGGTCCAGCTGGCTTTCTCCCACCTAACAACAAACAATAACAGTATTCATGCAGTCAAATATCTCTCTGTGAAGTGTATACGAACAACCAAGTGTTCCAGCACTTGAGTCCAGAATTCAGACTCAAGTCCAGCTGGTTATTTTCAGGATTTTTAACTCGACTTGGACTTAGGTACCGATGACTCGGATTGAACTCAGACTCAAGCATTGTCTGCATTCGGTCTTAAAAGTTGGAGACAAAGACTCAGCCCTTTTTTGTTAGTTTTTTGTAATAGGCCATAATAATTTGGCATAAGATTTTGATAGTCATATTAATACCGTAAAATTATTCAGTGGTGAAATGGAAAAAGCTGTGTCATTTGATGGAGACCTTTTTTATTTGTATGTCAGCTCTTTAGCTGTACCTCAGACTCGAAGACTAAGGACTTGACACCCAACTCAAACTCAAGGTATAGTGACTTGACCGCAACACTGTCAACAACTTTTTTTAAATCATGCAGATGCACTGATTGCCTACCTGCCCTCGCCCGTCAGCGTGACGCCATCAGCTGATAAGGAGGTGAGTGGCACACCATTGAAAACCTCCAGGAGGTTGACAATGGCCTCATCAGAGATGGAAAGGTTACGAAAGGTTATGTGCCTGGGGAGAGAGAAAAGAGTGATTGGTTGGTTTTTCAGCCAAAAGCAATATTTTTGCCCTGTGGTTTATTACATTGTTTGTATTTAGCGTTCTCCAAAACCGCTAAAACAGATTGGGACCCCACCTGACCCTCCGCCTGGCTGTTTCTCTGAGGGGCTGAACAGACCGATTCTCAATCATATGAAGGTCTTCCAGAATGATCGGCGTCTCAGGATACGACACGTCAGCAAGCACAGCCGACGTTAAAGTTATGTTTGTAAAAAAAGGTCCATGGAGTCTCAAAGTGACATGACCCAAGGGCCAAACATACGCCAGAGCACCAGGCTCATACCTGCAGAGAGGGGAGGAGACAGGAGAGTGAAAGCAGAGAATTAAAGAAAGTTTTGAGAGGTGATTAAGAGGATGTTGCTGTTTCTAGCTGGTCACTAAGAAAAAAACAGCGTCAGTTCCAAACCTCAACAGGTTGTTGCCATGCACGGTGAGCTCCTCCAGCTGACTGACTCCAGCCAGGGCTCCCCTCTTTAGCTCCTCCAGAGCCGGACCTCCGAACGCCAGCCTCCTCAGCCTGACTAGCCCCTGAAACACTGGAGCAGAACCTATGCAGCTGGAGGAGAGAGGAAGATGGATGTGGACACACGTATGCCATGTGGAGGTTTCTCCTCGGTCTTTGTACTATAACCTGAGCTCTTTTACCTGTATGGGTTGTTGAGCAGGTTGAGCTGTTGCAGAGCTCCTAGCTTGCTGAACCATGTGGGGTTGAGAGCAGTCAGATGATTGTCAGACAGATCTAGTTCCTCCAAGTTCCACAGAGAGTCAAGCGCTGACGGTTGTATCACAGCTAGTCTATTACCTGGAGTACAGTAATATCTTTGTATCAGAAATAATTTACATTCTGATAAAATTTTATCAGGGATTTCACAGGGGTCAACATTTGGGCCACTGATTATTATCTCACTCATTATTGTTGTTGCTGTTATTCTTGTTATTGTTATTATCATTGATAAAAATTATCGTCATTGTTGTCGTTGTGTTCCCCAGGTCGTTAGTTACTCTGGTCCTGGTCTCCAGAACCAACCACTTGACGACCAAATCTCCATTTATATCTTGTCCATTTTGACTTAAAGTCTGAAGTTCAAAGTTAATTATTGATATTGATCTTATTTCACAGCAAAGCACGGACGAGAGGACTCCATCTGCTAATGAAGACCATGTGATGTAATCAAAAGCTCCAGAACAGCACCTACTCATAGCTTAGAGGTGAGTTTGTTTTTGTCAGTTTTTTATTACATTTAAAATTAAATTACAAAATAGTTCATTCATTATTTATAATTAAGAAAAATGAAAGAAAATATTCATAATATTATCATGAATAATAGTGTAAGTTAATATCAACATATTTAATATAGTGTGTTATTATATCATATCATACTTTATACTGTATATTATTCTACTTAGGGCTGTCACAATATCTGATTTTTACTACGCGATAATCGAGGCCATAAGAATCCAAAATAACTTAGTAACTTAAATTATCTAATATCTGTAGAAAATAAAAAATAAAAAATCCTGTCATTCAAATTGTTATTAACTTTGTTACTGATCAGCGTTACCATGGAGACTCAGAGCCCTCAGTTGCATGTGGCCGGTCAGGTCGTCATCGTTCACCACGGTGATGTTGTTGAAGGAGAGATCCAGAGTAAGAGCACGGTCCGTTACCATGGGAACACGGGTGAATCCGTCATGGGAGCAGTTACAGGAGAGCCGCAGGTCACAGCTGTGGCAGGATGGCCTCTCAGGGTCTGGGTTCGACCTCTGACCCCAGCACAGGCCGAGGAGGAGGAGGAGGCGGAGGAAGAGGGTGAAATGAAGGTTGGTCTCTCGCCCCATACTGTAGGAAAAAAAACAAAATCTGGAGTGAGACACAGTGGATGAGTCAGAATCATTGAGTAGCAGCAGGGAAACGCAGAACAAATCCAGGGAGGAAGTGGAATTTGATAAAAGAGGAAGTCTTTAACACTTGATTATAACTTTCACAAAGCCTTTACACGCAAAAACCACTTTCCCAGTGAGTGAAAACCCCCAGAGGATTTCAATTTGTCGCACATCCTGTGCCCTATATTCATCAAGTTGTACGGGCACCAATCCTGTGATTTTTCTGATTGAACATGTGATAAAAACCGGATTAATATTAAGACATCTCGAATGCTTCAGTATTTTGCAACATGCAGTATAGGAAAGTTTATACCAAATATTTCATTTAGTTATTTTGATTGTATTAATATATGCTTAATTGAGGTGTTATTCATATAGATCAGTATGTACTTATGACACTCATCTTTATTAAATATTTGTTGATCAAATTTATGTTGAACTGTTGTTTGTTGTGACATTTAAACAATTATATTTGCTATCTTCATATTCATGAGAAATGATCTGACTTATACAGAGAAGATAAAGTTATGGCCCCCAAACTAAAATAAAATTTAGCTGCACAGTATTGACCAAAAAAAAAAGATCATATACATGTTTGTAAGATTTTGTAAGATGATGCTATTTTCCAAATATTTAGCGTTTGCTGGAAAGTCCCTGTTTTCAGTGTGTTATACAGCCCTCATTCGGTCAAGTGCTTCCCTTATTTTCTTATCTTCAACAGAGCAGACAGTTCCAGGTGTCATAACCGCTGTTGTTAAATGGAGAGATGATAACGGAGACAGTGATCACTCAAACTTCATGTAAAACCATTTCATTTTCTTGTTCTAGGATTTTAGCATAACTTTGTTTTTGCCTTATCTTATTTATTTATTTATTTATTTTCCAAGATGATTCCTGATGACGAGATAAAAAAATTTGATAATGATTCAAATTGTAAAAGATGAGAACAAGTTAAAGATTTGTTTTTTATGACTGCGTGGAGAGGAAGTAAAGATCTCAGGGCACTTGATGACTTCTAACCAAGTGTGAAAAGAGGTAGTGAGCATGAAAATGAACTCTCAGGAGGAAACCTGCAAGAGTGTGTGTCTGTAAAAGAATGTAAAAAAATAACTACAGTAGATTCTTCTTTTCTGCATGTCTTGTTGAATTTGATCTGATGATTATGACCCATAAAACAAGCTGAAGTGAAGCAGCACAATGTAGTATTATCCTGTAATTGGTATCTGTTATATAATACGCTGTAACCAACGTATGAACAGCGCTGTGACCAAAATGACTTCCGCTCTGACTTTCTGGCTTTCAGACTCAAACCAACACTTCCCCTTTGCCCTTAGGCTTGATCATTTACTGCCACAACGCTGATATGGGAGATATTTAAAAATCACAATACAGAATGGTAGATATAGTAGAAAATCTGACCAGTATCATTATAACTCAAATGTATGGTCGTCAAAAGGTCCTCTTACTGGATTTCTCACAAAAGTCAAAATTCAAATTTAGCTAATAAAATAAATGTACAAGGATGAGCAGATCTTTGTGTGGAGGAAAAAAACCCTAAGAGATCCACTCCAAAATAAAAATGCTTCACATGGGATGAGATTGAAATCACAGTAGAATCAATAAGTTTGCTGAGAAACAGTTGGTAACTGCTGCTGAAAATAGTAAAAAAGGTTAAAAAGAAAAGTTTTCCAGATGGAATTAAATGTTAATGTTAAAATCAACCCTCCTCCTTTAGAGATATAAATCCAGTCGGACCAAACAGGCGTAATTTATAAACTGGCATCTGAATGAATCATATCGATTTCTTATTTACCTTTAACTGACGGTTTTGTCTTTCCAGTTACTTTTACACTGACAGATCTGAACTCAGTTAAACTAGATGGTGCCTGAGTGAGCCAAACAATGTTGGAGGAAGCAAGGAAAGCATTGAGGCAAACCTTAAACGTAAGCACAAGTTTATACCTACAGTGATTAAGGAAAAGAAGAAAAGTTCTTACCTTTAATTAATCCGCACAGTAACTCACAATGTCACTAAAATCTGATTGTGTTGTATGTGTTGTGCTGATCAGGGTGTCAGCTTGGACACTGAAGTAAAACATGAAAGCAAACATCAGCTAATGAATCATCTTGGTGCACGCTCAGTTCCTCTTTTTTTATCACAGCCAGTTGCTTTGGGAGTTTGAGTGAAAAACGTCGAAAAATGTGATGAGAAGCATCTTTTTTGTTTGTTTGACGCAAATGGTGTCGCAAAGAGTTTTAAAGTGTAATTGCCTCCCTGTTTTATTGCGTTTATTCACACAAAACTTAAACAGTCCCTGTGAAACAGCCGTCTATTCCGGTGTAATTCACAACCCTGCCACCAGATGGAGCCAGACTCCACTTTAAAATGTGCTCAAGTTGCAGTTAAACCCTTGTTGTTATAGACTGGACAAATAAGTGTGATTGTTACAACCAATTACCTAGAAATTTAATCAAATTAGACGATATTAAACAAACCTCAGCAATAATAATTAAAAAATAAAAAAGATATGAGATGACAAAGATTGTGTATCTAGAGTTATTCTCTCTCAGATTATTGTAATCATGAAGTTTCAGTTAGATATTTTTTACATAATAAGATTGTTGTGCGTACAGTCCATGCAGACCTTCGTGGACTCAGGAAGACGATGCATTTATGTATTGACTGTTGCAACCATGGAAACCATGAATTGAATTGTACTCTTAGTCTGGAGAAACTAAGAGTAGTCGAAAACTAGCTGCCACATCTGTGAGGAATTGGAGGTAGTCCAGAGCTGCTGCAGGTATCATGCCTCGTTACATCTGGTTTGCAAAAATATAGTGATAATGAACTTCTACAATATTTTGATGGTGTCCAGTTAGTAAGGATCAAATCAGCTCACCAGCTGATGCCACTTCATGTCAAAAAAAATTAGCATTAGCAGGTTACCGACACACTGGTCAATCCATTCCTTACACAACGCTCCTGTGGTTTTGGTTTTTTAATGGAGACCTAGTACGTTCTTACTGCTTGCAAAGATATTATTGGACAATATCTGTTCAGGGGTAATAATAATAATAATAATAATAATAATAACAAAAAGCAGAATCCACAGGCAGCCTGTTCCAAAGTCTCGAGGGTTTGATAGCAAGGGCACAATCACTCTTGGTCACCGACCTAGACTTAGGAACAACCAGAGGAGCCATGTCAGAGGACCTCAGATTGCGACCTGGTACATACAGGAGTAGGATTCAGGCAGATAGCTAAGTGCCAGGACAGAGAGAGCTTTAAAAGTTAACAATACAATCTCAAAATCTAAATTTGACTGGCAGCCAGTGAAGTGCAGCTGAAACTGTATTAGCAACCGGTCAACATGGACGATCCCTGAAACACAAGACAAGGGAAAGATAAACCTACAGGCCAGGGCGCCACCACCAGTTATTTGTTTTTTTTCTTTTGTTTTTTTGACATGAAGTGGCATCAGTTACTCACTGGTAATGATACTTATGTAGTTAAAAGGTGACAATGCAACAGCAGCACAATAAAGGGCAGTATGGGAAATAGGTGGAGTATTTTTGATGCAGTAAGTGTGATACTAGTCATTGGATTTTATATCTTAAATTGTATGTGCTGGATATTATAATATAATATGATATAATCCTGCCAGTCTCAATAGTCTGTAACCCAGATATGCACAAAACAAGCTTGTAAAATAAAGCGACTTTAGATAAGATCACAACACATTCTCTCACTCTGCGTTTAAAATATTTCCTTTGATTCTAAAGTCACAAGATAGTCTGGGAAACTGTGGCACAATGAAACGCCGCGAACAATGAAATGAATAAACGAAAAGCCGATTATAAAAATGATGTAACCAAAAACCCATGGCGATTACAATAGTCTGAGAAAGAATAACTGTATACGTGAGGGCTTGGCTGCTGATACAGTATACAGTAAATAAGGTTATGGTAAAGGAATATCCATCTCTGCTGTATTACACTCTGTGCTGAAAAGAGGGATTGTCAGTGTAACATTTGACCACAAAGCTGTGGTGCACTGTGGGTGAATGAAGTAATGACAGAAGAAGCATCAAGTGATCAGCAGGATAAAAGGCAGAGAGGCAGCGGAGGCTGCGTCTCATCACACCAGCTGATCCTGAGAAAGGTCAGTCTACTAAAGAGCTTTCATTCAAATTATTAATATTACTTATTCAATTTCAGTATTATCAAGAGCTGTGTGTGTGGAATTGTAGATTTTATTTTTGATTAACTTCTTAATTGCTTTTGACTCCTAGTAATAAGGAGGTTATTGGTAACTGGTATTGTTGAGAAATACAATGTTTCAGGCAATTTTTAAACCTTTTTGCTCCTGTGTAACGGCAGGTCCAACTACCTCTTCATCATCATCATCATCAGCATCATCGTCACCATGAAGGTGCCCGGTGTGTGTCTCACACTCTGCAGCCTTCTGACCCTGAGTCGAGCCGTCCCGCTCAACTCCACCAACCTGCTCCCCAAGCACGCGGGCCTCTGCGAGTACGCCAGGCTGCAGTGTTACCACGACGGCATCGGCGCGTTCTGCCCCACGTGCGACACCAACGGGAACTTCCTCCCGCAGCAGTGCTGGCCGTCGAGCGGCTACTGCTGGTGCGTGGACGTCCTGAGCGGAGAGGAGATCCCGAACACGCAGAGCCCGCTGGGAAGCGTACATCACTGCAGTGAGTGACGGCGTTTACTCCCAACAGAAAAAGCTTTAATTGCTGGACTGAGCTCGTGGGAAGTGGAGGAATGCACCTACATACATTTAGTCAAGTGGTGTACAGGTTTGAGGAATATGTCCTTTCATATAAATACTTAACTTTCAGAGGCAGATATTCTACTTTTTACCTCTTTTACCTTGGTTGGTAGTTACTCTGAAGATCAAGACTTTGCCAACAGAACACATGAGCAGCTTCTGAGATATGAATAGATTAAACTCTCTAACTGCACATAAAGTATTTAAACTAGATATAAAATGCTACTTACATCTTAATGCATCAGTAATGATCAAGTAATACAATATAACTCATTCTGTTGCCTGTCGAGTACTTTTGACTTTTGAAAGATATTTTTTTCTGCTAATACGTTTGTGCTTAGGTCACTATGAATGCAGGACTTTTACTTCTACTGGAGTATATTTTATAGTGTGGTACTGCTACTTTTACTTAAGTAAAAATACTTAGTTTGCGTTGTAGGAAATATTTGAGTTTTAATCATTTAAAGTTCACTGACTTTAATTTTAAATAATATAATCCGGTTGATAAATCAGTGTTTTGAACAGGTAGAGCTGCACAATCATCACAATCCTTTATTTTGCTCAGTGGTCACATGATTAACTCAGAGTTGATCAACACAGGAGCAAGTTTTAAATGGAGTCTGGCGCCATCTGGTGGCAGAGTCGACAGAGCAAAGCATGATGGCAATTTCAAATGCATTGTTTAATGTTTCTACAAATGATTTGAAAAAAATAAGAAGACTACCACATCAAAACAAGGTGATTCAAATGTATAAACCTTTAAATCAACATAAGAAATAAAATTAGGCAGGCTTTCTCAAACACAAGTGAATTGAAATAATGCAGAATGAAAATGGTGATTGCAGTTATTAAAAGATTAATTGTGCAGCTGAGTAAACTGAGTAAACGGTGTTTTTGCAGGCAGTGAATATTACTGCCCCAAAGGCTGGACCTACTTTGGAAAAAAGTGTTTCACCTTCATCGACAGCCCGAAGACGTGGGCCGAAGCCGAGGTGAGGGCCGACAGAAGGACGAGAAGCAAATCACACACACTGACGACTTCACGCTTTTCATACATTCAGTCATGTTGTGATGGGAAAACGCTTTCTTCTCTTGTTCCCTCCAGATTTACTGTCTGTTTGAAGGAGCCAACCTGGCGTCAATCCACTGTTATGAGGAGAGTCACTTTGTCATGTCTTTGACCAGAGGAGACACCAACAGCTTCCCCCAAACCTGGATCGGTGGCTTCAGTGCCATACATGTATGAAGTCCTTTGGTCTAATTGATATAATTACCTATACCATTGCACTGGGATATTATGGTATTGACTTTTTCGGGATCTTTGGGTTATCAAAGAAATTTGGCGAAGAGTACCCCGAGAGGATATTTTACAGTTGAGCAATACATTTTATGTATTGTAATTAACTAAATCCTGCAGATATTTCTCTTATTTTGTTAAATAAACTGTCAGCTGTGCAACGTATTGATGTGTGATTCTTTGTGTGTATCATCCATAGCCCGGTTTTTGGATGTGGAGTGACGGCTCCAAGTTTCACTATGAAAACTGGCACCATGACCACAGCTCTGATGGTCCAGACAAGGCCTGCCTGAAGATCAATTATAAATGTAATTAACTGTACACACACACACACACACACACACAGTTACATCCAAACTCTTAATATACTTTAATCTCATCTTAACCTCAGCTTCAAGTGTTGAAAACACATACTAGTATATTATAGGAGTAAACAGTTGTCTGAGCTAAAGGAACAATGACTCAGTCACATCCTTTATGGGCGGGGCTAACGCTGCAGAAATCACAGATGGATTAGAACGAATGGTGACTGTCTGTCTTTTGTTTTGCAGATGACTTGAAGTGGTACTACGAATCCTGTACCGAGTCTCTCCCTTTTGTTTGTTCCAAGAAGATATGATCTCAGACCTGACGATCAAAAATCCAGTTCAGGTCACACGTGCTCTACCTAACAGTTTGAGTTCTATTCCTCTCGGAAATGTTTCCTTTCTTGCTTGTTTTTGTTGAATATGATCGATAGGTTTTATACACACAGCTTTTAGCGGGTTAGTGTGAATATCTGGGTCAGCTTGACCTGCTTTTGTATAACGTATAAACAATCCTGCAAGAATTGTAAGAAATACATTATTATATCAATAAATAATTGCACAACATTTTAACTGGGATATAGTGAAAGTTTGTGTCACAAAAAAAGGAAATTACAAGTTTCTACATGTAAACATGAAATATGAAAATGAAAATAAAAAAATATAAATGGTACAGAGCCAGGTATAATAATATACACTAGTATATTAATAGTCGTTTGTGTGTTGAGGCCTGTGATTTCACAACGTTCCCCTTTGGACTCAAACAAATTTCAGTTGCTTCATCGTCCTAAATTCCCAATAGTGACCCACTGAAATGTTCTGAAAAACAATACTCACCGTGTCTTCAGAGACAAATTATTACTCATAATAACAACATGTTCAAGGGAATATTACAGTGAGCACTGAAGTCACTGAATCCCATCGTTACATCATCATCACTGCTGTTTTTCTCCTCAGATATAGGAACAATTTAACAATCAATTCATTCTGAGTGTGAGCAGCATCAAACATGTTCACGTACTCTGACTAAATAAAAACTATCCCAGGTGCTGGATATTACCATCATTAAGTAAATCCAGGACAGCAAATTCCCTGAACCAGGACTTTAGAAAGACTGGAATCATGAGTCAGGAAGGCTTCGGGTCATTTCATACTGCCAGGGATTAAAGTGTGATTGAGAAATAATGAATCCTTTGTTTATTTAGATTTTTCATTTTACTTAATCTAAAAAAAAACTAGAATCTGATTAAAAATGTTACATTTTTGAAAAACTGAATGTAAACTTCCCCAGCTTGCAAAAAAAGCACAATTTTCTGATAAAATACAGAAGACATGATCTCAGTGGCCTTAAGCCAAGACCGTGTGAAGAACTAATATAAATTTAAATTATGTTAAACCTGGATAACTCTTTTGAAATACAGTTTCTGCAGCCACTGGATTTGTGTTTGTGAAAACATCTCAAAACCAATATCAGAAATCCAAAACTTTACTTTTAAAACGACTGTCCTTGCGGATGAGCATAGATTGAAAACCAAAAATGGTCAAAGTGGAAACTTCTTTTGCACATATGTTCAGCACATTCTGACTTATCAGGAAACTCAGTCCTTTTGCCCTTTTGTTCCTTCACAAACTTCCTATCGACCGTGTGCAGCGGTGACTCAGGGTGGGTAAACTGCCCCAGCAGTTACTGGCCAGTTGTAGCAGATCAATAAAAGCAGGGGGAGGACAGTCACTGACCCAGGGAGGCAAAGGATAAATACCTGCTCAAATCAGTATCAGGGGCAGAAAGAGGAGTGAAGGCACACTGAAGACAGCAAAGTGACTGACCAGAGTTTGACAAGAGCAACATCACAGAGTGAACCATGAGGACGCTGCTGCTGCTGTATCTGTGCGTGTACGTCGCCTGGGCGCAGGATAATCTGGACTATGACGACTATGACATTGTGAGTGTGTCTGGGTTTGTTCACCGGAGTTTTCTAAACTTTAATAATTCTATCAGACTGATCATCAAAGAAATGTACATACCCTATTACCCATGAAACCTCCAGAATATTCCACTTGAATATTTTACAGTAAATATTTTTATTGCATCATTGAACAGGTGGAAACATACAAATCTTTTTATTTCCCTAAATTTAAAAATTTAATGTGGAAAGTGTAAATTTGTGAATTTACAATATAAATGACACTGGTCGTTAAATAAACATCAAATGTCAGATTATGTTGTTTTTTTTTTCTGCCGACTAAATTCAAAGTCTGAATTAATTCATTATTTAAATTTAAACCATAATTTGATATTACGATCATAACGCATTTTTGTTTTACAAAATTATGTTTGAATTCACGGATGCATACAAATTTTAATGACAGTAACATATTTTATTTCATTCACTGAATTCATTTTATTTTCATATAGTAAAAGTTTTATTTATTTATCCGTTAAGAAAAAAAAATCAAAAAGGTGTTTTTAAGAAAAATCCTTTGATATCGTGATTTTGATTTTGGCCACTATCTTTATTATTCACCTTTGTTATTCTGTACTAACATGTCACTGTTTACATGTACAGTAATTATACATTTGGATTTGTATCTTCAAATATATTCACAACACTTTTCTATCATCTCACACAGGAAACAGGCTTACCACGGAATAAAACAGTACGTATAACAACTTTACTTAAATGATTAGATTCATGTAATATATCTTATTTCATTTGATGAAGTGTTTTGTTATTCATCTCTCTGCTCTTGTCTTCCCTCCTCGCGCCCAGGGAGCGTCGGTAGATGCTCGTGGTCACCGTCCACTACAGAGGGGCAGAGACAGCTACAACGCCAACCGCTATTCCCCGCCACCTGTCAGCGGCCGCGGCAGGTACATTCACTAGATTCCTTGTTCTCAAAGGGCGGGAAGATGCTTCTGTTGAATGTTATATTTATAGGATTATTATTTCTGATGCACCACTGGCAACAGTATTTTAATGCCGTATCTTCTTGAGGTGGTGCTAATATCGTTAACATGCTAATGTATAACTGTTGAAGCTGATCATACGATTTGATTGTAAAATCTTTTCCTTCATAATTACAACAAAAACTACAGCTGTCAGATAAATGTGCAAGTACCTCATTGATTTGACTAAATGTAGCTGCATCAGTGCGAGGCTGCTTTAGAAATGAAGACATGGCAGTGTCTCTCATGGTTACCCTGGTTCTTGTCCAGGTATCGTGGCCGTCCCACCGCCGCTCCGACCGCACAACTGGTGCAGGAGAAGGAGGAGCAGCCGGAGGCCGGAGGATGCACACACGCCTCAGATGAGATGGTAGGAGGACAATAGCAGCGGGTCACCAGAACACCCGACCTCTGCTTTCAGCTTTTACATGTTTCAGCTCAGTAACTGCAAACTGCTTGGTTGTTACATTTCTGCTGACCATTTTCAAAAGCAGTTAGGTCATAGTTTGTAGACTCCTTCATTCAAGGACGCTTTGGTTTCAATTATTTATATGTTTATATATATACATTTTTTGTCCTTCTAACTGAGACCAGATACCAACGCTTTTAATTTGATGAAACAACCCAGTTCACAAAATCTGGGCTCTCCATTGGCAGAGCTTTGATTTGTTTCTTTATGTCTTTATTTGGATTCCCATCAGCTTCCACACAGTGCTCACTACTCTTCCTGGAGTCCACACACAAAAACAACAAATAAAACCAACAATTATTAATGTCACACTATATCAATAAAACAGGAAAAAACCAAAACAAGCCAAAACAGAGAAAATAACTCGACATGTAAAACAGTAAATAACAGTAGTTTACAATGAAAACACAAACACAAGTGCTGTGCTAATGTATTTTAGTCACTGAAGGGCAGGAGACTAACCAGAGGTTTTCATGTCCACCAGGGTGTTTTGTGTCCCACTGGCTGTGAGCTGAAGACCACACTGCAGAAGCAAGAGAGGAACGTCAGGACGGTAAATTAAACTGAGCCACTGAAAGATTTTAGAGACGGTTCATTTCTTTTCATTTCTTTTCATTTCTTTTCATTTTTCATTACCAGAAGAATTTTCTGAGCAATGCTTGTCACTAGTGGATCTGTAGGGACCACAAATCAGTTTATATAATCAGTTGGCTGAATATAATTGCTGTTGTCATTGAGAAAAAACAATGGGGTCGACCTGTTGTACTTTTACTTATTTGCATCTGTCTGTCACAGATCGTTAATGAACTCAAGCCTCAGGTGGACGATTTGTCCAGATCCTCCAACAACATCTTCAACTACGTCAACAGCATGTCCAACTCTCTGAGGGAGAGGCAGAGAATCATCACCGGTGAGACCAATGAAAGAGCTCACGTTTGTTTTCTTAGATCCATGATGATGGTAGATAGTTGTTTCAAGTTAAACTGTAAAATCAGACCGGCATTTTTAAATTCTTTAAATTGTACCTCTAAAATCTACATATTTCTTGGGTAATAAATATATATATATATATATATATATATATATATATTAATTATGTGCAAAAAAAAAGATTATTTTGTTCCAAGATTAGGTGTAACTCTCTTTGAGGTAGTGGTTTTTGTAAAGGTTGTTAATCTGCTTTGTTAACCTGAGGTTTAGGTAAGAGTTAATCTATGACAACATAAGTGGTTATTGACAAATAACACATTGCATAGAAGAGTAGAATGCGTTATTTTTTGATGGACCTGCTCTTCCAAAAGATCCATATGCCTGAGGACAAAAGGAAGTTAAATCTAGTCTGTAAAAACATGTTTTAAAAAAAATAAAAACCCTTAAAAGTCATGTACCTAATATCAGTGTTTTCTCCCTCCCCTGTAATTTCCTCCTGTCAGACAACAGCAGGGTGGTGAGTCAGTACACTGACAGTGTGGAGGAACAACATGCCTACATCAAGGAGACGGTGGACACTGTCTTCCCTTCCAACATCAGAGTCCTGCAGGTAAATAAGAGGAAACATTTAATCGATTTCCTTTAAATATTTGAAAGTGGCAGTTATCCCCAATCACAGCCACATCCAAACATGATTATTAGGAGTAGTAGTATTTCTTGTCAAAACAAATGACATCACTTGAAAGTAATCACCTGATCCGAGAAGCTGGTGTATCCAATCTTAAAGACGACAAACATCCATCCTGAATGTAATGTCTGATCCTTTGTGACTGCAGGGAGTCCTGGACAAGATCAGGCTGAAAATCCAGAAGCTGGAGAAGGCAATCCAGGTCCAGAGGGAGGGGTGCACAGAGCCCTGCAAGACCAAATGTCCCATACCTGTGGTGTCTGGTAAGTGTTGTTCATCCTTTGTGGCTATTCAATATCTATAACCTATTTCATGGACATCTGGTCCATCATAACCTTGTTTTGGACCAAAGTATTGGCCATTGGACATAAGAATGGAAAAAATAACCAATATCGCCATCTTTGGGACCCAGTAGTAGCAGGTTTAAAATAGAAATCAATAAAGCTCTTACCTCACACCACCTCTTCTCTTGTGTGACTCAGGTAAGGAGTGTGAGGATATCTTCCGTCGTGGAGGAAAAGACTCCCAGATGTACCTGATCCAGCCTGACGCCTTCTACCCGCCATACAAGGTCTTC